TTTTTTTTTTTTCACCCATGCAATAAGCATGCACAGAAAACAGATATGGTCAAAACTGCAGTTTTGCCTGTGGGTTTTGTCAGGACTCTCTTTGCCATCATATAAATGGTTCCTGCACAGGGGCGTGTATTAAAGGGTATCAAGGGACATTATGCAATCAGGGTAACCCTGTTTTTATTTTTTTCTGTTTGATCCTCCCCCCTTCTTCAAATAAATAAATAAGTAAGACATAGATTCAAGAAACAAATAATTGTGCAAACTCTCAATATGTATTTACTTTTTTTGGTCCCTAAAACAAGGAAAAGCTTAAATTTGTCTATTAGATGACGAAACTATTTAACGTATTTCTTTTCTTATATTCTGTCATTTACAATAGTGTGTTATAAAGGCTATTATGGAGCTGATTGCGAAGAAAGATGCAGTTTATATTGCAGGACATCACGTGACTGTCACCACGTGACTGGATATTGTAAGGATGGATGTATTGGTGGATGGCAAGGATTGAAATGTTTGCAAGGTCAATATCCTTTCTTTTATTTGTATGGGTAAGCTTGGGTGAATTGTTTCACTCCAAATACATGCCTTCAGTGCTCCTTATTTATGTGGTTATTCTAAGGTAATATAATTGAAAATCGCGAACTATTTTTTTCTCTCTCTCTCGATACAATGGCAGAAAGAAAGGCTGACATGGATCCTCCGTCATGGTTCTATGGCGTGTTTGCAGTCATAGGAGTCTGCATAGTTGTATTTTTGGTGATTTGTACCTACATTGCTTTCAATAGGTTAGTCTTCTTCTTTTAATCAAAGTTCATTTCAAATAGTAAACAGATATTGTTCTTTTTTATTTTCAAGATATTTTACGTAAGATAACATCCTTAAGCTTTAATTCAGAATTTATAAAACTGTCTGGGATAAATATTAAGGGTTATTTGGTGTATATCTTTAAAAACTACGTCAAGTCAATATGCCATATATTATTAATGCATTTAATAATGGCAGAAGAAACGTTACAATCATTACAATCAAGATTTATAATTCAAATGTATATGAGGATTTTTTTTTTATTTTTGAATTCATATTCATTTTTTTTTTATCATAACTGTAGAAGGAGAGTCAGACAAAAGAAGGAGAGTCAGAAGCTAAGTGGGGTGGGTGATAAAAGAAAGTCAGTAAAGTTGGAACTTTACACAATTCCTTTCAAAACGGACGAAGATGACGGTAACAGATATCAGGCGCTTGGTGAAGTAATAAAGCAATCCCAATATGAAGACTTGAGATAAATATCTTCTCAAATCGATATAATAGTTGAATTACATTAAGACCAATGCATTTTTAAATTGTATTTTAAATCAAGAGACATGAATGACTTACATGTTGCAGCGTGACATAATGTGAAAATAAATTTGTTGAAACATCAATTGTAGGGTGAAAAAAAAAATAAAGGTGGAGAAAGGTGAAGAATGGTATTCTGCTATTTTATTAATTACTTGCAAATTGAACTGGTTTAATTTAATGAGGGAGAAAAATACATATTGATAATTCAATTTAAAATGTGTTAATATAATTGATTAAAATTAAAAAAATAGATATGCAATAAAATATATCAGCACAGTAAAAATTATTCAATGCTTATTGGCACTGAGTGTCCAGTAAAGATCAAAATTTAAAGCTCTTTATCGATTAATAATATTTTATATAACATTTATGAAGAAGTTTTCCCATTATATCACAAATATCATACTTTTATAAATATGCCCTGAAAAACTGCCGAATTACGCCGGATACAGTTATGTTCCACCGGAAACAGTTATGTTGCCTTCCCGCACACAGTTATGTTCCCTCGCTTCGATCATTCTGCATATCAAATACGTCGGGTTCGAAATTCACAGAGGCAGTTGCTAAGCAAACGTAAACAGTTCCGCGAAAATTAAAAAGTCGAGACAACATCTGCGATTTGTTCATTTGAATTCAGAAGAATTAGATAATTAAATTGAGGAGAAAAATCTTGAAATTTGTAACAAAGGTTACCATCAAAAGTGTCAGCATACTGAAAACATTCTGCCATGAAACAGGACGGGATATTTCGGAATTATACTCAACGTACATGTGTACATAGTGTTCAATAAATGTGTTCGATGTCGGATTACCGATTTTGGTTCAATGTTTAAAAATGTTATACATAGCTTTATTCTCGGGCAGCAATACCAGAATATTTTACCTTCGGTGACAGAAAAGCCCTGGAGTGTCATGTCGTCCTCTGCCTTCGGCATCGGGCGACATAACACTCCAGGACTTTCCTATCAACTTGAGGCATATATTCTGGTATGCTGCCCTCGAAGCCATGTAATATATGTATAGTGTAACATCCCATTGGAGAATTTTTTTACGCATCTAGAGAAGTCACCATGTGCCGGTGATTAGCTTCAAATTAGATCTATTCTCGGTACTCAGTGACATTGAGCATTGGGGGTTCTTTCTCGTGCAACCCCCTACCATGACACTGAACTAACAATTTTAAGGTCATATCCGAATGGTCCGGTGACTTTCACTTCTAATGTCGAGCCCTTTGCAAAGGAATGTTCAGTGACTAAATATACCTATGCTTACGTCTTAGGTTTGATGCTGCGCAGCGAACGAGAATAGAATCCGAGCCTCCTGATCACGAAGCGAACTCTCACTTCATCGATATATAGTGATGTTTGTATATGAGTGACACATTCTAGAATGTGCCATAAATAACACACAGTCAGTCATTTTATTTCTTTTCCTAGCAATTCATTTGAAATATATGATATCAAAAGGAAGATATGGAGGGAGAAATAAAATACACTCAGATAATCTGTTATATTAAACAAAGTCACATATATGTAAAATTGTTATATGAACAACAAATAACTTGCAGATTTTTTTTTTTAATATGAAATGTTTTATATTATTTGTTTAAATAGAAAAAAAAATACGTTAAGTGCGATATTTCAGATTTCTTCCAAAAGATTTATTTCAGATGTTTGAGAAAGTAAATGATAAACGTTTTCATCCTCAAGTATTGCTGTATACAAATTATAGTTTTTTTCTTGACATATTTATTTATGTTCACAATTGCCGGTAGGTGGTGGTGGAGGTGGTGGTCGTAACGGGGCTTTAACCGGACCACTTCCTGAATGTCCAACACGTGGTCTTGACAGTCCTGGCGTGTCTAGCTTTGGAACGCTTACAGGAACTTCAAAACCCTCTATGAATAAAAATATAATTATTCCTTAATATTTTTTTTAAAAAAAATATATGTTATATCAATGAGTACGCTTGGTTAATTATGAAAACATGACAACCTAAGCATTTGCAATTTAGATTTAGGTTTAATGATTCACAAATTTTGGCCAGAGTTAAAGGTCAAAGTTTATAAATCAATTTTAAAGAAAGAAAGAAATATGTGAAGTATGTGAGTCATAAATCTACCAAATCAAAATTTATGGTCAGATTTTATTGAAAAACAAATATACAGACAGAATGATAGGGTAAAGGCTATTTACCCCCCGAAAGAGGACATAAAATAAGACAAACAAAATATATCCACTTATCATTGTAATAAACTATACATTGTTACTATTGTTTCTATTTCAAAATCCTGATACATGTACCTGTATAATGCAGCATTGAAAAATTATATGAAATATTCTGCAATCTGCATAAAATGTGTATTCCTTAGAGAACATGTACTTACAACGTAATTACAATTTTCTATCAACTCGCCATTCTCATTACATGAAACAATTATTTCTGGATTCAAAAATATTGTATCAATAACGTATGAACATATAAAATGACGTAGATAGTATAATGAAGAGAAATACATATATTGAAGAAATAATGTCACATATCAACAAAAGTGATATTCTGCTCTGTTACAACGCAAAATGTAATAATTCTCAAAATAGTGTTGTGTTATTACATTTTCCGTTGATTTCGACGCAAAATGTAATTACGCAATATGTAATAATCCAGGTTTATTACTTTTCGCGTTGTTATTACATTTCGCGTTGTAACACTGCTCAGGTCTTTCGTTAAGGTTATCATGAATGAATCAAAGTGGCAGTAAGATAAATTGAGGTGAAGAATGTATACTTACTTATTGTGAAAGGCATCGCAAACTTGTATGGCTCCTTCAGAGTAACTGACAAGGTACCACTAAAAAGTGTAAGATCAGATTCTGAAGTAAAAAAAATGAAAATGATATTAATCTTAAAGTATTTTTTATAACAGTTACTATAATTTAACAAAATGAGGAATATGGGGCATATTTTTAGGTAAGATAAACAGAAGTACATTTTTGTTAGACTTCATACATGTGTATAATTAAAAAGAATGAAGAAAAAAAAAACGCGAGTCGTTATCTCAGATAAAGAAAATATGTAGAGATTTCCCACAAAGTCTAGAGTACACATCGATATGAAGATTATTTTATCTTCATGTACCTTAATAATTGTTCAATGTAAAATGACCTTATTTACCAAGAACACCATTCTTATTCTTAAAATAATATTTAAAGGTCATGCAATTCAAGCAGGGATGTCTCGATCAATAAGTTTAAATACTGTAGACGTACCTGTAAAAATATTTAATTATCTATAAGGATTGTTTATCTGTGTCGGCTTGGTGCACATGTGCTTATTAAGAAATTAAGATATTTACAGCGTATTGTAATAAATTAAAATGATCAACATATTTTCTTTGAGGGAGAGTCAAGAAAAGTATCATTTACTTTTCCTAAAATATAACATATCAATTATGTTCATACAAACGGTATATTAACTTCGGAAATAATATTAAACTTTAAGAAAATCTTTAAACAAGAACTTAAAATGTCGAAGTAGAAGTCAATCGCTTAAGAAATATTTTTTTTCATCGATTTCAGAACAAAACGTTACACTTACCTTCGATAGACAATGACTATTTTTAAAGGGAATTTCCTGCGTGTTTTCCTGTATGCCTATAGATAGATATTTTATCAGACTTTTTATCTATAAATAGTGCGAATATCACGTAAAACCCCAAAGGATATGAATGCAAAGATATAAAACACTATAATTGTTATTGTTTACCCTAATTATTCAC